CCCTGGGTGTGTTTAAGGGTTGTTTGGATGTGGTGTTGGTGGAGATGGTTTAGGGGAGAACTTTGTAGAGTAGGGATGATGGTTGGACTCGGTGACCCCAAGGGGCTTTTCCAACCTGAATGGTTCTGATTTTATGATTCTATTATTCTATGATTGGACTGGCAATGCTTTCCCTAAGGCAGGGCCCAGGAGACCACACACCTTGTTTGCAGCAAGGGCAGGTTGCTGACTCATGCTCAGCTTTGTATCCACCAGGATGCCCTGGTCGTTTTCAGAAAAGCTGCTTCCAAACAGGAATGGACCCAGGATTGTCTTTTGGGGTACACCACTAGTGCTTGGCCTGCAACTAGACTTCACATGACTAATCATCACACTCTGAGCCAGCTCATGCTCTCACCTCCTGGTGCCCAGGGTGTCCCAGGGAAGCTACCAACTCCAGCCTTTCCCCAAGCCCACGCCAGCTGGGTGCAGCCAGGCCACCAGCCTGTGAGGTGACAGAGCAGAGATAGAGACACAGCTGCTTGGTCTTACTCTGGTGCTGCTCCTGGCTGCTCTCAAAACATCAGCTTAAGCTTGGCTGAAAATTAAGCTTGGCTCCAGGCTGCTTCATGCTGGTTGTGAGGAGCTTGTCCAGCCAGCATGTCCCAGGGCCACCACTGCCCTCCCTTTTCTGCACGTCAAGTCAAAACCGAGGTAAGGTAGGAGCCCTCCAGCTGCATGTGGATTTTGCACTCCTTGCTATTGCTGCTAATGGGAAAAGCAGCACTTGGGAGATAAGCCTGAGGCTACTCTCCCTGATGGAAGGACATCATTACAAGTGATATAACGAGAGGAAACATCCTCAAGTTGCCCAGGGGAGGTTTAGATTGGATATGGGAACAACTTCCTGGAAACGGTTGTCAGGCCCTGGCCCAGGCTGCCCAGGACAGTGGTGGAGTCCCCATGCCTGGAGGGATTTCAAAGCTGGGTAGATGTGGTGCTGAGGGACATGGGTTAGTGGTGGCCTCGTACTGGGTTAATGGTTGGACTTGATGATCTTAAAGGTCTTTTCCAACCAAAACTATTTTATGATTCTTTAGAAAGATGATTTCCTCTGGATGCTAAGAAAGGAAGAAGAACCACGTGCTCCCCAGTTCACTCACTGAGTGCTGGGCTTTGAGGCCTTGAGGTAACCTAAGGAAGGTCTCACTGGAAAGATAAGCTCATGGAGTCAACTGTGCCCTGCAAATCCCTGTGAGCTTTCCAGGTGCCTGCAACTGAATGATGAGGAAATCCAACAAGACTTTATCATTTGATACTTCATGTCCTGGCAAGACTTTCACAGGATCTTTGAAAAACAAGGAGGATGTGTCCAAAATGCTCACTCTCTCAGGGTGCTTCACACTGGACAGAAGACCAGCTCGACATCTGCTTCTGAGAAACCTGGCTTAGCAAAGCAAGAGGAAAACCAGCTGTCCTTGGGGAAACCTGCTGGCCTCTTCCAACTGGGACTGCAGAGTGAAGATGACCATCATCTCCTGGGACCCAGAGGAGATCCAGAAATGTGTGAGCAAAGCAGACAGCCCTTGCATAAATCAGAATGCAAATATGCAAATATGTGTTAGATGAGTGTACAGTGAAGCAGATTGAGAGCTGGTTGAGTGACTGAGCTCAGAGACAGTCCAGCACAGACCACTGAGATAATGAAGGGACTGGAGCATCTGCCTGTGAGGAAAGGCTGAGAAAGCTGAGGCTGTTCAGCCTGGAGAGGAGGAAACTGAAGGGGGATCTCATTAGTGCTGATGACCGTGCTGATCATGGAGGCTGTGGAGCCTCCATCCCTGGAGACATTCAAAGCACACCTGGATGCCATCTTGTGCAATGTGCTTTGGGTGACCTTGCTCTGGCAGGAGGGTTGGATTAGATGATCTTCATAGTTCCCTTCCAACTCCTGACACTCCATGGTTCTGTGTTTCTGTGAAAGGCTCAGAGTCAAAGATCTAAAGTGGCGCTGTATGTTTTTTCTGAAGAGTGAGACAGTTGGAGCTGCATCATTACCCAGCTGAGACCTTCTCCTCTCCCGGTAAACTCCATGTTGAACTAGGGCAAAATCATAGAACCGTAAAATCTTCAAGGTTGGAAAAGACCTTCAAGATCATCAAGTCCAACCATCCACCCTACAACCCCCAACCACTAAGCCATCTTATGAAACGCCATGTCTGCCCCTTTTTTGAACTCCTACAGGGGTGGTGCCTCCACCACCTCCATGGGCAGCCTGTTCCAAGGTCTCACCACTCTTCCCATGAATAAATGTTTCCTAATACCCAATCTGAACCTCCCCTGGAGCAACTTGACCCTATTTCCTCTTGTCCTGTCGCTGGTCACCAGGGAGAAGAGCCCAACACCCACCTCACCACAACCTCCTCTGAGGGAGTTGTAGAGGGCGATGAGGTCTCCCCTCAGCCTCCTCTTCTCCAGGCTGAACAGCCCCAGCTGGTGCTGCTGTTTGGACAGGGGAGCTCAAACATTGAGATGACTACAGAAGAATAATTTTTTCTGTGGTGTATGCAGGGTTGTCATCACCTCCACCACCAGTGTGCTGCCAGCTCCAGTTGACACCTGTGGGATCCAGGGTTGTCTGCTGCTTCCTGAGGCTGCCTGGCACTTCCCAAAGCAAAAAGCCCTAAGCCCTGCTTGCAGTTACAGGGAAGTTTGCCAAACTTTACCTGCTTTCTCTGAAATGCTAGTGAACTGTTTTTATTATTAATTATTTTCAAATCTGGCTGGAAAGGTCAGCTGTTTCCCAGAGCAAAGTCAGCAAAAACATGTTTCCAGCCATTAAAAACACCCCCTTGTCCTGAAGGTGCTTCAGAGCACTGAAGGCTGGCATTTGGCAAGGGACAAATCTGGCCAACATGTGTTGAGTCTCCTGCTCACTGCTGAAAAGCTTTGTGAAGCTGGACAGAGCTACAAACTTCTTAAAATCTGCACCAAACATCCTACAGCTGCAAAACCTCTGGCACAACATGCCATCCCTGCCCGCCGTCCCACTGTGGCTCCCCTGGGTCATTCTGCTAAATTATGAAATACTGGCTGTCCCAGGTCAGTGTCACAAAACATGGGCCAGCGCAGACAGCAAGAGGCTGGTGTTATAATTATTTCTGTGGTCTTAATCAGCCAGTTCACACAAACGCTGCTTTTAACACAATGCAGGTTTTAATTCATGACCACATGTCCATTATGTCCTTATCCCACCTGCATGCAAAAAGGACGTCCAGGCTGTGTCACATATCATCCTGACCTGTCCTCCTCATCTCAAAACTTAGCTTGGAGAAGAGAAGGCTCCCGGGAGACCTTAGAGTAACTTCCAGTGCCTGAAGGGGCTACAGGAAAGCTGGGGAGGGACAACGGCTTGGAGTGACAGGACGAGAGAGAGAATGCTTTTAAGCTGAAAGAGGGGAGATTTAAATGAGGTATTAGGAAGAAAACTTTTCCTGTGAGAATGACGAGACCCTGGCCCAGGTTGCCCAGGGAAGCTGTGTCTGCCCCATCCCTGGAAGTGTTCAAGGGCAGGTTGGTTGGGGCTTGGAGCAACCTGGTCTGGTGGGAGGTGTCCCTGCCCATGGCAGGGGGTTGGAAATAGATGATCCTTAAGGTCCCTTCCAACTCAAACCAGTCTGTGATTTAATTATTCTGTGATTTCTAGCATTGAGTTCTGCGAGTGATGAAGATCCTGCACGCGACAAGGCTGAGCAGCATGGTTCCTCCCATGGATCCAATGCAGTTATGACTCAAAATGCGTTTTGAAGATGACTTCTGAGACATGTTCTGGCCAGAAATAGGACCAGCATTGCCAGGGCATTGATTTTTTTTTTCTGTTTACATAATTAGTTTGGCTTGGAATCCTCAACACAGAAAATCTGTGGAGATGCATCACCAGCCACATCACCAATTTTCAGGGAAAGATGGACATTCTCAGCTATGCCGCCCACTGCTGTTGATCCTGAGTATCCAGCAAGGGCAGCCAGGGCACATAGCTGTGCCACAGCCTGGATCCAAAGCCAGGGACACAGGGAAACGAGCCTCCACACCCTCACAAAGCTCCTACAGTTGGGCATGCCTGAGGGAAAGCTGCCTGCTGGCCTGATGCTGCCAACCGCCCCCCCCCCTCTGGTTTTGGAGCCAAACCATGATAAAGCAGAGTCTGTAAGAGGAAGATGGCAGCACCACAGGCAGAGCCCCCCTGCCATGGTGCAGGTGTACCCCAAATGCAAGCTGGGGGCCCACCTTTCTCCATACCCCTCCTAACGCTTGAGTGCCTGGCTGACGGGACTGATCCTGCCTGGAAGGAGGCAGCACTTAGGTGCTTCTGGGAGCGTAGGAGTCTTCAGGTCCAGGGCACCCCAGGAGTCCCCTGGAGGGAGGGGTTGTCCCTTTAGCATTGTATCCCCGTGTCACTCTGGCCAGCCCACCCCATGGATGTGTTTGTACAGCAGACACCTGGCATGGGGCTGACCTGCAGCCCCTCAGGCTGGGGCCAGTGGTGTCACTGGAGGGGGTGTCACTGGGGGACTGTCTCCCCCCACACCCTTCCAGCAGCACCTGTCCCTCCCAGGGGCCTGCAGGACCCCCTCGGGTCCCCAGTTGGGTAGGGAAGCAAGGACCAAGGTGTGTGCACACATGTGACCTTATGTCAGTGCATGTGTGTGCACGTGCATGTACACAAGACCCCCTGCGGGTTTGTACACGTGTCCCTGGTGTCCTTGTGTCCCCCATGCCCCCTATTCTCGTGTGCCCCTCTTGTGTCCCCATGTCCCCCCACTCCCCCATTCCCATGTGCCCATGTATCTCATGCCCCCTGTCCCCATGCCCATGACCCCCCATCCTCCCTGTCCTTGCCCTTATCCCGTGTCCCATGTCCCCGTGTCCTCATACCCCCTGTTCTTGTGCCCCTGGATCCCCCATGCCCCTGTTCATGTCCCCATTTCCCTGTACCACAACCTCGTGTCCCTGTATCCTGTGTTCCTGTCCCTCATCCCCCCGTAACCCCATGTCCCCCGTTCCCATATCCCGCTGTCGCCTGTGTGTCCGAATGTGCCGCGTCCCATATCCCCCTGGGCCCGTGTCCCCCATGTCCCACACCTCCTGTCCCCATGTCCCATGTCCCCCTGTGCCCTGCCCCCCCCCGTGCCCGCGCCGCGGCCGTT